AAAAAAAAAAAGTAAGAGACTGAGATAGCAATCACTTAAATAAAAAGCAACAATAGTGGCAAATACTATACTATCAAAAACAAGGCAGGTTGTGCTACAAAAGACAAGTGAAGGGGTTTTGACTTTATTTAGAAGTCAGCAAAGGCTTTTTTGGGCTGGGACTTGTAAGATTTGTAGGAGATAAATCCAGAAAACCAGGATGGGGAGGAAGAGAGAAACTGTGATAATCCTGGGCCAGGGTTCATGGAGCCTTGCAGAAACTGAAGGGAAGCTGGTGTGATTTGCATCCCAAAGGCAGCAGCAGAGTGAAATGAGAAAGGGTTTTAGGGAAGCAAGGGTCAGATTATGCAGAACATGGTTTGTAAGAAAATAGTGAAGGGTTTCAAGAAAAGGAAGGCAAAGGGTCTCTTCAGACTGATAGAAGAGAGGTGCCACATCTCAGCAGGCATGCATTTCTCTGCACACAGGGTCTGGCCTCCAAGAAAATGAAACAAACCTGCTCACATTTCAAACCCCAACACAGGTGTTTTATTTTCTTTTAAGAATTTGGGAATCTGAATGCTTATTTTTATTCTATGTATCTATTTTCATCATATGCTTATTTATTGTTAACGAAATAACATGTAGTTTACAACCTCATAAAGGATTTTGGAGAATAGGTCATAACTACTCAGAGCAGATACTGCTCTGAGAAGAAATAAAGAAGAAAGAGAAATAAAGGAAAGAAGACAGTGGAATGGGACAAAGGGTGGAGGAAAAGTATATCAGATAAAGAAAACACCCTATAATCTATGATAAGTCTACCTCTAGCTCCTAGGAGGACTTTGAACAAACATGAATACAAAGGCAGCTCAGGATTCTTCTGTATAAATTGAGATGTCACCTCCAAACACAAGTCATCATCTTTTCATCACTTTAAAGCTGAGGAAGCAGAATGATGTCATAGCTACTAATCTATAGATTGGTAATCTATAGATTACCATTATATATTATTATTATTATTATTATTATTATAAGCCTCAGATTCAAGAGATGGCAGACTCCAGAATCAGGGTTTGATTACTAGATCTAGATGCATGAAATAATTTTCTCTTGCTGAACCTCAATTTCCTCCTTCAGTTAGAAAGAAAACTGTATCCAAAAGGGTAAAACAGGGAAGTAAAGGGACTTAGAAAAACACAAAGTGTAATGTAAATTACCATTACATCAAACTCATACAATACTCATTAGGTGTCAGGCTCTGACCTGGAAATTTATATAGACTAAATCATATAAACCTCTTCACAAGTCAGTGAGATGTCTACCGTTATCTCACTGAAGTTCTAGGAGTACCAGACACCCACCATAATTTTACTCTTTATTCTCCACTCCACTTTCAGTTGTGATGAGAAAGGTGTAAAGAAAACACGAGAAAGTTCTTTTAAAGCTCAGAGAAACATAGATTAAAAGGCCCAAAATAAAGACCATCTAAGATAATTACTCAGGGAAACTGATTTCTAAAAGGTCCAGGATTGGAAAGGACTATGATTTGACCCAAAAAAGGCAGGCCTAACTTTTTTTCCATTTTGTAAATACACTTATCAAAACAGACTCCTGATATTTCTTACAACCCTCTAATTTCTCTATATTTTGATATTTTACCATGTCTGTTTTCCTGAGATTGTTCTGCCTCAAGCAGAAACATTAAAAGAATGTTGGGCCTCTTTTGCTTTGAAGCTGAGAAGGAAGAGACCTGCTGATAAACACCTCTGTTTGTGGCCTAAGTCAAAGAAGTAGAGGGGAAAAAATTGGAAGTGACACAGAGCAAAGAGGGCAGTACAGGCTGAGGAGCCAACAGCGGTGACAACAGCATCTAACACCAGCGCCCTGGGAAGGCTGATTTCAAGGGCTGTGTTTTTAGCCTCTGTACTGCAATGACCTCTCACAGGCAAAGCCAGCACATTGAACAAAAATGTATCACAGAAGGCTGGAATGCTTGGAGAGAACATCAACAAATTAGACTTAGCTGGAAAATAACTTAAACTAAAAATAGAATCAGAAAAATTATCTAATATGAAGTCCAGAGACTTTATACATGAAAATGTAAATATTTTTGCTAAAAATATTTATTTATTATTTAAATAAAATATTTATTCATTATTTAAAAGGGGACAAAATTCGGGCCCTCCCTGGTGGCACAACGGGTTAAAGCACTGCACTGGGAAGCTTAAGCCACTTCCGCATGAGTTCGATCCCTGCTTACCCAGGAAGAGATCCACATGGCGTGGCAGACCTCTCCTGACCAGCCCGCTGCTCCCCTCAGCAGTGTAGTTCGTCGGTCTGCCTGTTCTTCTCCCCACTCTGTCCCTGGTGAATCCTCCCACCCTCCGCATTTCTGGCCTGTACCCCAGTTCTGTGTGAATGAATAAATAAATCTAAAAAAAAAATAAAAATAAAAATAAAAAAAATAAAAGGGGACAAAATTCAAATTGATAATCAGCAAAAACTTTCCAAAGTTAATGAAAAACACCAATTCAAATCCAGGAAGCACAATATTCCCAAGCACAATAGATTGGGGGAAAATTCACACTTGGCACCATCATAATGAAATGTAGATTACCAAATGAAAAAAGAAAAGTATTAAGAGCAGGCAGAGAGAAAAAGGAAAGGCATTCTGTCTGTGATGAGTGTGCCCAGGGAGGAGGAGAACCTCTGTAGCACAGCACAGTGCTCTTACTGCAGTGACCCAGTTGAGCCTGATGAAACTCTTCTGGAGTCAGACACAAGGACACCATGTCCCACACATTCTTCATATGTGTAACTCTCATACTCCTCCCATGGAATATGACCAGCATTTCTCCTGCTAAAATGTGGAGGTCTCAGGTAGCCTTTTGGGACTGTTTCAATCAACAAATACCACAAAGTTAAGGCTCTATGACTTCTAAGGCCATGTTGTTAAAGAGATGCCATGTCTGCTTAGTCACTGGAATATTCACTATTGAAACTTGAGCTGCCCTGAGGCCACCATGCAGTGAGGAAGCCCAAGCTAACCCACTTAGAGAAACAAGATGGGTAGACCCCAAGAGAGTCTTTTCCCTAAAGAGTGGTCAGGAGAAAGAAAGAATGAATATCTGACCAGCCTAGAACTGTCTCAGACATTCACTGTTCTAGTTCTCATCACCTTCTGAGTAGAACCACATGAAACCTGAAACCCAAATAGAGGGCCACCAATGCAAGCGCTGGCTGAAATCCTGGCCCTCAAAAACTATGAGAAATGTTACAATGATTGGTGTTGCTTTTTTTTTTAAATTCACTGCATTCTGGGGTGATGTGAATAGAAATAGAAAAGTAGACCGGATGGTCCACACTGCAAATTAGTAAATCATCGCGTGCCATATGAAAGTGAAATGAATTGGTCTCATAATTGCAATCCAAGAATGTCTAGAATCTATAAACATCTAGCATTCTAACATTTAATAAACTCAATGTTGTATGCACATGTATATACATATATGATGTGAAATATAAAGATCTTTCCTAATTGCAGTTTCTAATATTAAAGCTAAGAATAAGTCTCTTGTTTTAGTGACTTTTAAAAGTACGAATCAAACTGAAATATTATATAAAAATTAAGAAAACTACAGTGACACATCAGAGGTCTATTTCACATATATGTTATAATTATCACATGCTAGCCAAGCAAATAAAACATAAAGTTTGAGAAATAACTCACCACCTTTCCTCCTGACTTTTGGTCAAATGGTACCATGGTGATTTGTTTGGAATCCCGCTGGTATGTACAGTAGTGCTTCACCCAAGAAGTTCCAAAGTGACCTGCAAGGTAATATTTCCAATAAAACATCTCTATGTGACCACTAAATGCTAGAAAAACATCCAACCCATAAGCCACAATGCTTATATACTCTTTAAACTGTATCTAGAGGCAAAATATGCTCTAAACTATCTAGACTACCATAGGCAGAAATCTGATCCCACAGATCGGAAATGGAACCAACGCAAGACTTTCCTCAGGGACCAAGAAAGACAGTTTCCCACTAAATGCTGCATACAGTGGGTTTTAAAATATAAGGGAAGTAGAGGTCCCCTGAAGAAATTAATTCACTTTCCCATCATCAATCTCCATGTGAAGGTCTCTTTCTGTCCCCTGATAGGAGTAAGAAGGTTGAGAGAATACAGATAGGCCCCTCAATGTGCTTATCACTCTTCCCATCTGGTGCGATGACTACATACATCCTCACAGCTGTTGCATGGGTCTATGCACAGACACCCAGGGATTCTGACTCCTTCTGACGTTAGCAGAACTTAATGCATATCTGAGAAAAAAATCAAGGAAAACTCAAAGACAGGATGGAAGTGAATGTGCATACCCAAATATAATCTCAGAAGATCATCCTTCAAAATTACCCCTCAGAAAAAAGGGAGATGCCACATGCGCAAATACCAACAAAATCTCTGATTTTACATGGAGGTTAGTCAACTACAGTATTTTGAACAACAAAATACAGTCAGAGAAAAAAGGCACCACTAGCCTGTAAGGACCTCAATCAATATTAGTCTTAGATGTTTATAGATAAGATCATATAACAGAAATATAAACAGAAAATAATATGAAAGGAGATTTAGCAGACTTTCAGTAATTATGTTTCAGCCTATGGCTGACTACCACTGCTAAGTGTTAGACATCACTTGGTAAATTTCAAAAGCATGTGTGTGGACCATCTAGCGCAAATGAAAATATCAAAGCAACTAGTGCATATCCATGACTTGGAGAAAAAACTCCAATGATAACATAAAAGATTCCAAAAGTAATGTATCCTGTACAATTAAGCATCAGAATAAATAAAGATGGCATGGATTTAGCCTACTGAAATAAACAAAAAATCCAGTAAGTCCATATGACAATAGAAAGATGGATGGGAAGGAGGGAGGAAAGGTGAATGGATAAGTGGGGAAGGAAGGAGGGAGAGATGAAGGAAGGAAGAAAAAAAAACAAGAGGAAAAGGGAAGTAGCTCTCTGTCACTGACTGACAATTAATAAATATGGAAGGAGTAGGAAAGCTGAAAAATCACCAGTTTGCAACCTTCATAATAAAGATCAGTTCAGGCCAGGATTTGCCAATAGATACTAACTTCTGGGATACAAAGTCTGATGAAGAGAAGCAGATGGTCTTAAGGTGCCTCCCTACAGATTGCTAATTAGTTACAAGAGAAAAATAATGACTGTGCAACGAGAAATTAGTTTTACACCTTGACTGAGTGATGAAAATTAACATTACCACTGAGGGCCAGGTTGACTTTCTGTGACTCCAGATGAGGTACCCAAAGAAAGACCTGGAAGAAGCTGGAAAGGATCATGCTCAGTGAAATAAGTCAGAAGGAAAGAGAAAAATATCAAATGGTTTCACTTATACGAAGAATATAAGAGAACCAAATAAAACATTGGGGAAAAAAACTGTATTGTTATTATAATACAAAACACAACAAAATAAAACAAAAACAGACAATTATAAACCAGAGAATCCTACAGCAGAAAGGGACAGAGAGAGATCGGAAGAAGGGAGGGAGGAATGTGGGGGACTGTGGTGATAAAGAGCAGGAGAAGTGGAAAGGACGGAAGTAAACATTGTTTTAAATTTAATAAGGAAATGAATAAATAAATGAAAGACATGTCACTTCATGTGAGATTTGACTACAGACACATAACCTGAATCTAATCGAGAGAAAACATCAGTCAAACCCATACTAAAGAAAATCCTATAAAAAGAACCAGTTTATATTCTTCAAAAACATGAATGTGATAAAATTCAAAGGAAGGCTAAGGAACTCTCCCGGATCTAAGGGAACTATAGTCATGACAACTAACTGCAACATAAGATCCTTTATTAAAGGAAAACAATATGCTTTATAAAAGCAGGAGTGGACTAACTGCCACAATCTGAATATAGACCATAAAGTGACCATCACCACTGTCTTTCATGTGGTGAATGTACTATAGCTACAAAAGAGATCCCTGTATTTAGAAAATATACACTGAACTAAAGGATCATCATGGAAGCCACTTGTTCCAAATGGTTCAGAAAAATAAAAATATGTTTAAGTTGTAGCTACAATGTGCACTTACACCCAGAAATAGAAGTATTAAACTGTGGGGAAATGTTACAAGTTCATGAATCTGGGGAAAGTTCATAAGGGTATTCATAATATTTTTTTTTAAAGATTTATTTATTTATTCATACAGAACTGGGGTACAGGCCAGAGGCTCAGGGGCGGTGAGAGGCTTCACCAGAGACAGAGTGGGGAGCAGAACAGGCAGATCGACGAAGTACACTGCTGAGGGGAGCAGCGGGCGGGTCAGGAGAGGTCTGGCTCGCCATGTGGTCTCCTCCGGGGCAGGCGGCAGGCGGGAATCGAACTCATGCGGAAGTGGCTTCAGATTCTCAGTGCTGTGCTTTAACCCGCTGCGCCACCAGGGAGGGCCTCATAATATTTTTGCAAGCTGTATTCCAATGATGTGCTCTGGACTAAGTGTTAGAGAATGCAAATGTGTTTCTAATAATCAAGACAGTAATGTCTAAAGAGTAAATGAAGTGTCTGAGTAAAACTGTCATTATAATATAAGGATAAAAAACAGCAACACTGATTTCATATATATAAGTGAATAACATGGATAAATGAAGTACTATATGTGGATAATTAAGTATATTTTTATGATTCTAAATATGTGTATTATCAAATTGACCTTAAACTCAGGGGCAGCCTTTTCATTGAGCAAAGGCGGCAGCAGAGAGCAGTATATATACCAGTATACAAGAAATGCACAAGTATTTCAAGTAACTTCTATTTCTTACAAACCTCAAAGGCTCATCCTTCTAAGAATAAGGAATAGAAAATCCTCATCATAACTGATGCCTCCGCTCACTGATACTACCACCATTGTCAGGGAACAATTTAAAGTCCCCCAAAATTTTTTAAAGTAATCACTAATTAGGAATATCACTGAAATCAAGTGTTCTAGTTCTTTTTTTTTTTTTAAGACTTATTTATGCATACAGAACTGGGTTACAGGCCAAAGGTGCAGGGGTGATGAGAGGCTTCACCAGGGACTAAATGGGGAGCAGAACAGGCAGATCAACTGCTCAGTGGAGCAGCAGGCCAGACAGGGACAGGGAGAGGTGTGCTGCATCTTATGGATCACCTCTGGGCTAGGATCAAACTCACACTGAAGTGACTGTGGCCAACTTGCAGTGCTGCATCCTAACCTGTTGCGCCACCAGGAAGGGCCCAAGTGCTCTAATTCTATTCTATCAGGAAGCATGAAGAGTTACGGCATTGGCTTGACCTAACAAGACATGAAAGGGCAGAAAATATGCAAAAATATGAGGAGTGAAAAATATGCAGGAGTGAGAAACTAGAAGAATTACCAAGTAAAGGAAGAAGTTCACTTTCTTTTATCCCTACCACTATAGGCATGAAGTGTCTGTAAGTGCCTCTTCAACAAAACAGCACCAAAGCCCTAGTGCATGAATTTCTAAGTCTTTACTGAAAACTTTTGTTTAGCAACAAATCCCTGGAATTTCTTTCCTTGAGATCATATTGGAGAAGAATGAAACAAAGAGTGAGTCTTAATTTCTACTTTTCATAAAATTTAAGAGGTAGGAAGGCAGGAGTTGAAGAAAAGAGAGAAGGGGTGCATAAGTTGTCATTGAATCTTGCTGAAACAAGTCTCAAGGAAACAAAATTGCTTGCTATTAAGTCCACAAAGGATATGACCACACAGAGATGAGACAAGAAAATCTAGTAGAGCATATCTTTTTCCAGGGCCCTTTGCCTGAGGTATGGATGCACATAAAACTAAGTATAGGAGCCTCATAAATAGAGTGACTCTCCAGGGAGAGAAGGCTCACCAAAGAGCCTCAAGGAATTCCAAGTTTCCAAAGACTTTTCAGGTTACAATAAAACAGAATACTTCACTTAGGAAATACTCTCTTTCACCCAGCCCTAAACTTATATCAGTATAGGCAGGGCATTACAGTCTCTGTCCCTGCCAGAGAAAAAGGCAGAAGGAGACCCCAAGCTGTGCATCCTCACGGACACTCACGTTTCTCCTGAACGTACAGGTACCCTTCCATAGTGTAGGGACTGATGGTCTTGTGCTCCAGTGGATTCTCCTTCATCTTCTTCATTAGTGATTCCACTTCTGACCTGGTGCCTTCAAAGCGATTTCTTGTCTAGGATGAAGGGAATGTTTGTTATTTAAATTAAAAAATGAAATCCTGTTCCCATCTCTAACACAATTCAGAACATCACAACCTGTAAATTTCTTATCAAAACCCAGGTAAGAAGCATTTAACTATCTAAGAACTAGGCACATACTTTCAGGAGTGTATTTTGTCCTTAAGGTCCTAGAGTTCAGTGTGTCTCCAACTCTAGCGACCAAACAAAGCACCTGGAGAATTTGTAGAAAATGCAGTTGCCCAGGCCTCAACTCATCCCTAAAGATTAATTCTGGACATAAATGAGCATTAAAACAAGCAGCTGAGCCTCCATGGTGGTAAGGAGTTAAAGACAGTACTGTCAAGCTTCTCCCAGCCAAACTCATGTTGCAATATGACATGAGTTTGATCCCTGGCCAGGAAGCCAGGTCACATGGTGCAGCAGACCCCTCCTGTCTTGCCTGCTGCTCCCCTCAGCAGTATATTTCAGTAGATCTGCCTATTCAGCCTCCACTCTGAATCCTCTCACCTGCCACACCTCTGGCCTACTCCCCAGTACTTATATGCAGAAATATATCTTAATAGATAGATAGATAAACAGACAGACAGACAGACAGACAGACAGACAGACAGACAGACAGACAGACAGATAGATAGATGGATGAATAAGTAAATAACAATAAAACAAATATCTCAGGTGGTTCTGATTCAGATGGTCCACAGATGCACCATTCACCTCCTTTCCAGATGGAGAGCTCATTTCTCTGGCTACAGAGAATGTTGCTGATGGCTCACAGAAGATTCCCTCCTCAAAAGGGAGCTGTTTCCCTCCCTCAAGGTAGCCTGGTAGCCCACAGGCAATACCGAGTCACACCTGGGCAAAGGGAAGAGACCAAAATACTGCCCCCTGGCTTCTCTTCAGGCTGTTCTGAAGGCCCCTTCCCAACTCAGGGCCTGATATCTGGGGGAGTACTGTCAGAGAACTATGTCACACCTACCATGACCCCAGCACTCCCTGACAAGGGCCTGCTAATGCAAGGCTCTCACAGGTGACACTCCCCCGTCACCTACACCATGTGAGTCACTACTTCAGACTGCCTCAGAGGAGATCAAGCTTCATGAACTCTGTTCTGACACTTTACAACTTCCTGCTCACTAAGAGGACACAGAGAACCATGTGGTAGCAAGTACGGGTCTCTGAAAACATATACAACAAATCACATGGACACACTGGATTTCTTTCCTGGGTTTCATCTAGAGATAAAGACAACTTGCTGATGAACACACCCAGGCACATGATGAAGATGGGAGCTCAAGTCCCAGTAACCACTAACCAAAGAGCCCTAAACAGGATTCAGAGTGTTAAAAGGTTCTGCTGTGTAAAATTTAAGAAAGGAGACTGGGAGTAAATCACACTGACTTGGATTTCCTGTCAACCTCACTAAGAGGTGAACTAAGATGTATCATTTGAACTAGAGGTCAATATTATGTGCCTTCCCCCAACACACATTCTAAGGTATTGTGTGGCCAGGCACCTAGAGGCCCAAAAGGGAGGCTGGATTGGGCAGGGCTCTCCACTGCCAAAGGAAATCCTGACCCTGGTGCTACAGATTTAAAACAGCAGCAGCAGCACTTCCGAGAACAAAAATAGTGCTCTGAAATAACAGAGAAGAGGAGGGTACTCTCATCGGGGGCCACCAAATCCCAACTACCCTGTGAACCCAAGCAAAACCGCTCCTCCTTACTACATTCTAATCCAAGTAAGTGATATGTAAGTGGAAGACTCGTATTTTGTTGTTCTTTCCTTTCCAGGGTAAAGAAATTCATCCTTTTACTCACATTCTGTATGCTAATCGTCAACTGTGTCTTGAAGTCACCGAAGTCCTTGGCCAGTTCATAACCATGGTGATAGAAAGTGAAGAGTCCTTGCAAAAATGCCAGTAGCTGCAGTGAAGGAAGAAAGACAGAGCTCACGTAAAAAGGCTAAAGATGGATTATATAGCCATATCTGAGTTCCCAGCCCTGGTTTGAAAGTCTAGCAAACAAAGTAGTAAAAAGTGCTAACTACTTGTATCCCAGGCCCTGTAACTTGATATGCCTTTTCTCAATGAATACTCACAATCTACAAGGTAAGTACTGCTGTTATCTCCACTTTAATGACTAGGAATCAGATTTGGAGAGGTAACTTGCCCCAAAACAGAGCAAATGGCAGCCACACTAGAAACCAGGTCTCCTCAGCACCAACATCCATATCTAACCCTGTGAATCTCACCACCTCCTAAGAAAATCATTTCTTCAGAGGCTGAAGAACAGAGAACCAACTCAATCTCATTCTAATACGTTTGTAGAACCAGTTTATCATGTAGAATGGCTTAGTTATACTAATGATCAACAAGGGAGAGAAAAAAGGAAATGGGTATCCTTAGCCTACAGCCCAACAGGAAAATTCAAATCAAAAAGAATGATCCAGATCAGACTTCAGCCAGCAATCATGATGAAAAGTCACCTTTCTTATCTCTCAACCTATGCTAACCTCGAATGCTGTACCCCATCACTTCTCCAAAGCATTGATCCATTCCCTCCTGGAAAATAACAAAGAAGAAACAGCAGCTAATTCTGAGGCCATCCCACCTATTAACTCTGATTTATCTTATCTTTCACTTAAAGTGAGCTCCTGGTAATTAAATAACTCAGCTCACTAAGACTACATACAGAGTTACTAATATGTATTTAGCACTGCATTTGGTATCATGCCTCATTGTCTAGTTTTCTATGGGAAATAACTCCTTAGATTTTGTTATCTTTGGTTCATTTCCTTTTCTTCTGCCTCCAGCAGTTTATCTCCCAGTTGTCCCTCCTGATATCCCCTACCATTTTATGAACTTATCACCAGCGGGAATTGAAGGTTCACCCCCAAAGGAGCACAGAGAGACAGGCCCAGGGAAGAAATACAGAGATGGTAGGGTCTGTCTGCCTCAAAGAACAGTGTTCTTTGTGTTCTATTCAAATGCAGAGGAAGAACTTGCTGTAGCCTCATCTAGTTCTCAGATAAGAGAAGACAGCACGTCCACCCAGGCTCTTCTCTGAGCAGCCAGTACTTAAAATCCTAGCACAACAAAGGAAATACCCAAAGGAAGGACCTCCACTACCTTACTTTGCCTTTTTCTCCACCCTTGTTTCCCCCTCAAAGAATAACTGTAAAAGAAATCTACTCTTATTTCCTAGTTGATAACATAGATATAATTTATTTTTTAAAAAAAAAAAGCAAAAATGAAGTTATAACTATAACTGTGTCTCTGTCAAAAGCGTATTTTCTGAAGTTCCTACTATCTCAGTTGTTTTATTTGGAAATAAGGTTTTATTTGGAAATAAGGTTTTATAGATTATAGAGGTAACTGAGTAAAAATGAGGCCATTGGGTCCTATCTAAACTGACTGGGATCCTTATAAAAGGAGAAATCTGGACATGGAGATAGAAACACATAGGTGAAACAACCATATGAAGACAGAGAAGCGGGGTGATGCCTCTACAAAAAAAGAGCTAGCAAATATACCACCTAACCACCAATGCTAGAAAGAAAAAAGGTTTTCAGAGGGAATATGGCCCTGGTGATACCTTGATCTTGGGCCTCTTGCCTCTAGAACTATCAGACAATAAGTTTCTGCTTTTCTGAGACAACCAATTTGTGGGGCTTTTTATTGCATCCCCAGCAAATGAAAATGGCTCCCAAGAATCACTCATCCATACAACAAAGGGAAGGGCAGCCAGAACAGTGATGACAAGATGGGCTAGTGAAGCCAGATTAACTCCCTTCAACTCATCTTTAACAGAAGGATAGTAGTAGTACTTAATACTGTCCTGGATTGTGGTATAGATTAATGGAGATCATCTACGTAATTAGCTTTTAGCGCAGGAGAGCAGGGAGGATCTAAGCAACAAGCAGCATAATTAAACTGATGTGCCAGAAAATACACTGCAGTGTCAGAGTCCAGGTCAGACTACAGAAGGGAAGGCCAAGTCAGGATTTAAAAGATTACAGGAAAGAATAAAAACCTACAATGGGGGGTAGAAGCAGTGACAAAGGACAGGAAGGCACAACCCCAAGAAACAGTGATGGGGTGACACTCAGAGAAAGCACAGACTGACAGTGGAAAATGAGTAGCACTAGGTGAACTTCAATTATGAAAACTCAGGGAACAGGCAGAACATGGCTTCATCTTCATAGATTTAGTAAGGTATTATCTGCAATTCAAATCTTGAGAACATTAAGTACTTTAATAAGAAAAATAAAGGTTTCTAGGACACACACAAAATATATACGATTTAGAGCCCAGAAGTCTGTTCATCCTGGGAACACTAAAATTCCGTTTCTTTTTTGAAGCAAATGTTCTGGTGCTTGAAGTTACTTTCTAAGAAACAAATAAGCACAGTAAATGTACCTGGAGGTTTCTTGAATGACTGAAAGATTCCCTGGACGGAATCTGATCTGAATCACCCATCAGGTACCTGAGACAACTTAATTCAGCAGATTTCTTTTTTAAAGATTTATTTATTTAAGCATACAGAACTGGGGTACAGGCCAGAAGTGAAGGGGCAATGAAAGGATTCACCAGAGACAGAGTGGGGAGCAGAACATGCTGAATGATGAAGTACACTGCTGAGGGGAGCAGCGGGCGGGTCAGAAGAGGTCTGTTGTGCCATGTGGGTCACCTCCATGGGGATCGAATTCATGCTCAAGTGGCTTTAGCTTCTTAATGATGTGTTTAACCTACTGCAACACCAGGGAGGGCCCAATTCAGCAGATTTCTTGCTGGTTAAATTTCCTTTCCAATTGTAAGTAACCAAATGTTGTTTCATAGATATCTCTATCTGATTATCTGGTATCTATTTCAGTTCTGCTATTTACTAGATGTGGCCTTGGAAAAGTAAATAGAGTGTTCCCATTCATCTTAAAATAGAGATTACAGTTATCTGCCCTGAGAGATGTTATGAGGATTGAATGACACAATTTAGGTGAAAAATTAATTGTTAGCACAGTATATGACACAGTTCCAGCACTACCAACTGTTAGATCATGATCTGTGCAACCCAGGCAGCTGGGGTCAAATTAAATATATATCAGAATCACCTATTGAGATTATTAAAATAGAGATTATTGGGACCCAACACCTAAATTTAGTATCTAGAATTTGTATTTCTAAGATTTCAAGAACCAGGGATCTAATCGGTAGGTTTTCTTTTTTTTTCCCTTGTATGACCATCTTCTCTCTATCCAGAGCTTTTGAAATCACAACTGACAAAATGGCTTGCTCAAAATTAAGAACTTTTATTAAAAACTGAAGGTTAAACAACAATTCCCATAGTTAGTATCCCAATGAACTCATTTAATTCCACTTTGGACAAGGCCCTATCAATAGTTTCACTCTAACGTAGACAGGAAATTTTTTTCATTAATTTTCCAGGTGCTTCCCTTTATGGCCTAAAGAGCATCTGCAAACCACAATGATTTTCTACACGTTCAACTCTTCTGGCATTTTCATATCATCTATCGTGTCCAACCTGGCACAGAACTGCTTTCTCCATCTTGCTTTCCTAATAAAGCTGTAAACTCTTCAGATACAGCAGCTGGGTCTTCAGCATTTTCTACTACATTCAGTAATGAATGCTTTTACATCTACCAAGACATTGTTAATATATATAGGCTACTTAATATTTGGCTCAAATGCTCATTTGAGGAGACCCTGGGTGGCCAAAACTGGTATGTTCCTCCACCTCATAATAAAAATAACTGCTTAGTTAGCAATTATAAGGTAGCTACTATATAACACTTATATAACAATTCTATTACTGTATTATCAGCAATGAAGTGGTAAATGGGTGCTAATTATGTTAGCACTGTTCTAAGCATCTTACATGGACAAACTCAATCTCACTGAAGCCTTTTTAAGGTAGGTAATATTATTATACCCATTTTGCAGATGAGAAAACTGAGCCTCAGTGATAAGTAACTTCCCTAAGAATACAGAGCTAGAGAATGACTGAGTTGAGATTTAAACCAAAGCCATAAGTTCTAGAGCTCTTACAGTGATATTATATTGCCTCTCAAAAAAACTCAACATATGCATATGTTACAGTAGAATACCAGAAAATATAAGGATTAAATCCTTATAGGTTTCTTTTTAAAAAGAAACAAAGAGAAAAAAAAAACAAAACAAAACAAGTGAAGGAAGAAAGGGAGAAGTAGGATGGGAAGAGAAGGAAAGTTCACCTAAATGAGAGTTCTCTAACTGAACTCAGTGTGTAAAGACTGACTAAAGCACTCTGATGGGGGGGAACTCATTGTATTGCTGTGTAAGGCTTTATGGCTATTTGCTACCCAGCAAAGCTTGCAATATCTGGTTACTAGGAAGACCTACTAAGAGATCAAAGTGGACAACAACAAAAAATCACCTCAAATAAAGTATGAGGGGCCAATTAAAATGAACTCATCAAAATCAGATGATTATAGAATACTGATCATAAATATTTTTTAAAAAATGCACACCTCTTCTCCTCTAGAAATTCTAGAAAAGGCAAATAGAAATGCCAAGGTTAGTTCTTTCTATATTATAACTCCTGAATTCCTGCTCAGATTTCAGTAAACCTTGGGTGGAAAGGCTAACTTTAACTCACTGTACCCTAGCAACAAGCTTCTCAGACAGATGACTCCTTCCACCTCCAGACCCTATAGAAAGACAGGGGTTTTGAACTGAGACTATGACAGAGACTACATCTAGATAGCATTTGGCTTTAAATTTTCCAGTATTCAGATAAGAAGACTGAGATCTATTAAGGACTTGAAAGAATTTGTTGGATGAGATGGTAGGGGTGGAATCTCTAAAGCATTATTCCAGCATATTAAAAGGTGTCAGTGTCATGTTTCAAGATTAACTGGAGTCTTGATGAAATGAGGAACAAGTAACATGTACAAAATTTATCTCCAACATTTATAAATAAGAAATAGGGAAGAGAAACTTTACCAAAAAAAAAACAGTCGTATTTCTTCAGTTTCTATATGTTAATATTTGCTTAAGTGAAGCAGCCTTTCTCAGATATAGGTAGAGAGGAGACATTTATATAGAGACACCAAGATTATTTATGAATCAGAGCTTACATTCGTACTGACTAGTTCATGGTCTGTAAGATTTCTAACAGGTAGGCTGTTAGGTATTTGAGGACCATATGTTCAATCGGCATCTCCATAGATTCTCTCTGCTGTGGCCTCTGAACATGAGTGTTACAAATGGTGGGGCAGTAACTCATCTTCAGGAAGCCAGCGGGAATCTCAACTGAAGTTAAAATTGTTTGCAAACAACAAATTTCCCAACCTACTGGGACTCTACCCAAATTCAAATCTCAACATGGTCCATTTAGTGGACTTTCTATGCTGTTTGGTAATAAATTTATGGTGATTCTGAATTATCTTTTTAATGCAAGAATGGGGTAAAGAGGCACTTTGAACTCAAGGGACAAAAAGAGAGAGGTGTCATGCATATTCCTATTTCCTTGCATTACTATGGCATTTGGATTATTTGAGGGAAAGAGGAATGGAAGTTACAGAGAGGAGGAAAGCTAAGGTGTAATCACTACTGATGGGCAAGGTGAAAACTCCTCTTCTCCATCACTTCCATCTGGAAACATGGGCTGGCAAGAATAAGGAATCATTTCTGGCTCACTAGCTGGGGTTCTAGAGCAATGTCTGCTGGGACCAACCAAGGTAGGTCAGGTGCATAAAGCACTGACACCTGGCAGATGGCACATATCTTAATGAATTATGCAGAGCATTCTGAAATGTACCAGTATCTGGAAAGGGGGAAGGGAATGCTGAAGATGAAATCTGGGTGCACCAGCAAACACTGATCATCTACTTACAGGCTCCACAAACTCAAACATCTTCCTCTCTTGCACTTCCTGCACCTTGAAGACATACTCCAGGGAAACTTCATAGAAACGCTGCCGGACATGGTCCACTTGGCTGTCCGCCTAAAAACAAGATGGAATTTAAGAGAAAAATCATATCACTGTGCAAGGAGAACATTCAGCAGTAGGTTTCTGGAAGTAGGCTCTGGTGAAGATTTTTAAAAACAAATCCAAGAGGATAAGATAAAGACAAAAATTGATTATGGTTAGTTGAGCACTAATTTTGTACCAGACAACATGGCCATAGCAATACATATATTATCTTATTCTAGTTTCAATGATTTTAGTTTTGTAGTCCTCAGTAAATTCCTATAAAGAAAACTTTACCACTGATTTATAGGAAATGAAGCCTGCTGACAGTAAGGAACAATTAGTACAGGGCAGACAAGGCTTCCTATCCTGGTCCATCTGCCTCTAAGACCCTCTGATTGTACTTAAAGCACAAGGTCCTACTTTTCCTAAAACCATGATCAGATGCACTCATTGCCCACTTCAACAATGAAGGGGAGTGGAATGGACTGTTATGAACAAGAGACAATCAAGTCCTAGCAAGTTACCTTCTCCTTTAGTTGCCGGAAAGAATTTGGCCAAAGGAGCTGCCCAGAGCGTTATTAGTAGAGACAACTTTTTATCTGAATGACCTCTGTATGGCAGGGCAGACATCTGCTCTTATGTCCTATGACTTGCCCTCCTTCCCTTTCTCAGGCCAGGATGGCACCTATACTTCCAAAGCCCAAAATACTCATGGGGCTCATATTTGGGGGCCCTATGTATGTAAAATTAAATTTGGGACTTTTATTCCTGTTCACCTATTTTATGTGAATTCAATTGTTAGACTACCCAAAGAAAAGGGGACATTTCATCTGCCCCCACAATGTCTTCCCCTGGCCACTATTATAATTGTCAATATATATATATGACCTGCTCATCTCCAGTCACACTGGATTGCTTCCTGTTCACTGACCCTGCAAGCTCTTTCTCACCAATCACACTTTGTGCTTGGCATCCCTTCTGCCTAAACACTTTTCCCTGTATATAATTTCTTTAATTTCAATGCACAGTGAGAAATACCTTTTACATATAGTTAAAATTAAGTGTGATACCCTTTTATATTTTTCATTGTGCTCCAGCTTATTCCATTTCTTGATCCAGTAATTCAGATATTATGATATACCCACAACTTAAAGAACACTGTCCTTGTTTTCACTACCTGACTTTCCCTTCTCATCTCAATTCAAAAGCTTTCTTTAGAGAAGCCTTCAATGATGATATTATTTTAAAGAAGTTACCCCAGGTATTTTCTATCTTATCTCCCAAGGTATTTCCTTCGTAATGACTGAAATTTTCACTCATTTATTTCTTTTGTTGGGTTCTTCCCACAAGAACACAAAGCTGACAAAAGCAAAGATCTGTATCTCTTTTTTTCACTTTTTTTCATCATCCCCTGAATGGGGCCTGACCCAAAATGAGCATTCAGTAAATGCTTGAGGGATGAATGGGCCTCTACTCAACCACTGGTGACCCACACTCAGACAAAGCATATAACTCAATGAATTTTCAAAGTCAGGAAGAAAAAAAATTCCAAACAGTGTGGTATATTTCCCTGCCAATGTCTCTGCTCATGTGGACAGTAAATTTAGTGTGCCCTTATACTCACTGTCTTCAATGGAATTGTAAACCAGGATCCCAACCCATATGACAGGTCACTACAGTTTCCATGCCTGTTACTTGAGAAACTAAATTTAGTCTGAAACCCATCAATCATTCTGTGCTTCATCACAAAGTAGCATGAAAAGTTCCCTATCAACAACTGATCATTCACTCCACTTGCCACAAGACACAGATGCCTATGCAGACATTCACAGAAGCATCTAGTGAATATATATTGCAGGAAGGAATAGTGCCAGAAGGAAACGTCTGAACCACTACAGACCATTTTTAAAACTCATCCACTAGAGGGCAGTATCATTCCACATCACTACTCTGTCACTTCAACTACTTAGGCATTAGGAAATGGGCTAGAATTTTCAAGTATTCAGTTCAGGTCACCACAATCAGGGAACAATTCTGTATTTAGAATTCAATCACATAAGTGCTCAACACTGAGAACCTGCACTAAAGGTACACGGTCATCTCACTGCTGAGACACTAACTGTAGAGCTAACCAGATCTGGCCACTGTGAGCTAAAAAGACTTTCCTTAAATATATTTTCCAGGCTCCCCCTCCCCCCCCGCCCCGATGGCACAGTGGGTTGGGATGCAGCACTGCAAGCTAGCCACTAGCCATAGCAGCGTCAGTACAAGTTCAATACCCAGCCCTGAAGGTGACCACATGGCGCGGCAGACCTCTCCTGTCTTGTCCGCTGCTCCCCTCAGCAGTGTACTTCGTCAATCTGCCTGTTCTGCTCCCCACTCTGTCTCTGGTGAATCCTCTCACCACCCCTGTACCTCTGGCCTGTACCCCAGTTCTGTTTGCAAAAATAAACCTTTAAATATATATGTGTGTGTGTATTTTTTTTCAAACACTAATGCTAAATCATATTAGAAGAATAAGTGAAAAGTGATATATCAGTACAAATTCTAACAGGAATTACACACTCATGGAAAACCCATATACTCTTAGTTATCTTCTGCTGCCCATATCTGGGAATAGTCATTTTATATGTCATCTGATAAAAATAATCATTTCCTTAGGCTTTTCAATCCCATTTGAGGTAGGATAGTATTTCCTACTTCCTACAACTCATACCCACTACTCAACTGTTCTAGGTTGGTTGACCAAAAACTAAACTGCAAAGTCCACTATAAACACTCATTGTTTCTAGGGTCGTTAAATCCTCATCATCACTCAAGCAACTGGTTCAAAGATGACTTCTGAAAAAGGCACATTGCTAAGACTGTGTAAAAAATCCTGGGTGACAGGGGAGTGGATTCTACCATCTGCCAAGTTATCTTCATCTTCCAACCTTTGCCCTCACCATCTTCATATCAATTTTCACCTGGCAGAAGTGCAGATATGACATATGCTGAGAAGGAAAGAAAATTAAGAAAGAGCATTAGTTTGGAAGGCATAGACTCTATTCAGCAAATACCTGGAAACTGGTCAAGACACTTAAGAGTGAAATAAGAGGACATTTATATAAGCCAAATTTGGAGTTCTACTAGGAAACAGCCCTGTCACCCAGAAACATAAATTCCCTCAATGCAAAACTCACTGACCTAAATAAAAATGGTCACAACTTCCTGGCTGTAAAGCTGGCTTTTCTACGGAAGCCAACTATTGCACAACCCCAGGCAAATCCAGAAAGACCAGGAAGGAATTTGTTTTTTGAAATGAGGGTTACCAAAAAATAAAACACATGAATGACAATAAAACACTGCCTAAAACAACAACAAAAGACTAATATTGATGTCAAGTACTGTGTGATAAAACTTTTAAAAAATCAGCCTTTTAAAAATTTTTAAAAGCCATAATAAAAAGAAGAATAACATTAAAAAATCAGCACTGTTTCACATGCTAACATTTCAAATAACCAACATAAGGCAGAAATCAAAAAGTAAGATAAGAATGTAGAATCAAGCTCAAGGGTGAAAGAAATGGTAAAAAAAAGATCTTAAGAAAGAAAGAAGCATATTCTAGGAATTAGGGCTGCCCAACACAGAGGAGAGTGACAGCCATACTTTGCTCCACCACTGACACGTGGGAAGCCGCCAAGGGTGTGGCATGGCTGGGAAGACACAAGGGTCAGCCAGGACGAGGTACTGGATGAGCGATAAGGATCAAGGATCCTGATGCCAGGAGCTCCTACAAACCCAAGGGAGGTTTGGCACAGAGCCAGCAGCTCATATCCACAGCACCACGTGACAATGAAGCACTTTTTCAGGAAACTAGTAAAGTTTCTTACCTCCATAAGCTGAGCTTCTTTCTTTTTAGAAGACAGATTCAAGTGCTTGTCTAAGATGCCGCAATACTTCTCTGTTTCCTTGTCATACTTCTTTTTGGCCTCCTGGCAAAAAGAGAAGAGGAGAAAAAGATGAGAATGCTGCAGGAATAAAAGCAAGCTCAGTCAAGATCTTTCTACTATTCTTTACAGCTTCTTCATCACCTTAAAACAACAAACAACCTAACTCCTCCTCTTCAAATCATGCGTATTAAGTGAGGCAACACCCCACCAACAGCTAGGCAATTCTGAGTGTGTGTCTATAACAGAAGCACCACTACAATGCCAGAAATGAGGCAAGTCCCAGTATTTAATGGTGGCAAGTCTAGCACTCCACCTTTACAGCCTTCCATTGTGAAACACAGAATTAGTTGCTAACTCACAAGGATGTTCAAAACCAAGGGGAGGAGGCAAGTTACCTCTGAAGCTAATCCCCAAACAAGAAGATCCACTTACAGCTTAAATAGGACAAGTCCAGACTATGGGTAGATACAGCTTTGACAGTTTTCATTAGTATTTCTTAATAACCATAAATATCACACAGCACAATATCATATGTAGGTCTGCCATCAAACCAAACTTGTTATCTTCACAAATGCACTCACAGAAGCATCATTGATAATGGGCAGGGGGGTGGAGGGGCGGCAGCAACATCATCATTGTCCAAGGATAGGGCTTGAAATAATTAAAGTGTGGGAATCCAATAAATATAACTAGGTAGGTAAGTAGTCATATGGAAATATGCACATGATATAATGAAAAGTCATAACAGCTGGGTACAATTTGGTGCATCCTACATAGAGTGTGTCACCTATGGGCATAGATTAGATGGGAAGAAAATGAAATTAAAATACTTAAGAAAATCAGAGAGTGGGTGATTTTCTTCTTCCATTTGGGAATTTTTTTACCACTATATGTTATTTCTTTCAAAATGAAAAATACTATACGCATCATAATAAAGGCAATGATCTCTGACCCCACCAAGTCATTGAGTCACGAAGCTTCTACTTTTATTCTCTTTTTTACAGATAAGAAGATTTAGATTCAAGGAGTTCATTTGTGAAAGTTACAGGGAGTGACAGAGATGGGACTTGAACCCAGGACAAGCTGCCCATGTTCCCAGCCACACTTGGGACAGTCGCAGTCTTCCTTCCACTTTCCAATGGGGACAGCAGACCAGAGGGCTTGAAGAAGGTCACCACTGGTCTCATAAACAGAGTCAAATTTACTGAATGCCACATTCCTGTTTTGGATGCCTGTGGAGTCCATAGGCTGTTTTTCTGCAACTCTAGGGCCTATAAGGGGAGGAGAGAAAATGCAGCCAAATAAGGAAGCTCAGTGACATCGCTTTACTCACTCAACAAAAACACAATGAGTGACCAACCTGTACAAGGCTCTATGTTAGGGACTGGACCTACAAGGCACAAGTGGTCCCTACCCTCATGGTGGTGGTATTCCAGGAGCAAGAGAAATAATTAACAGTAAACAAACTTCAGCTATAGACTGCCCCAAGTGCTAGGATGAAAATCAATAAAGTGTAATCTCAGATATTCTGAGGAATGAATGCTCAGGAAAGGCCTCACTGGAGAGAGGAGATGGGAGCTAAGACCTGCTAATCACATCAAGGGATAGAGTGGTACCTTCTAGAGAGAAGGGTAAGTGAAAATGCTCTGGGAAGAACGTCTGAGCCTAGGCAACACAGGAATCACCAAACAGTCATCACCTAAAGCCCTGAAAACCTGCAGAGGGTGAGAACACCATTTATCTGGCCAACAGCACAACACCAAGTGTTAAAAGGTGGGAAGAGGCATCAAATGTCTATTTTAGCTGACATGCATTCATTTCTGTAAGTCCAAATTTTGTTTAAAAAGACACTTACATACAAGAACACATGAAGAAGCAATGAGGACACTGCTCCTTCAAATATGAGGATGGACACAACAAACAAGACAGCATTCTCTTTATAGAAACCAGCAAGTGTGAGCAAGGGTTCTAGTCCCAGGGAATGGCCACTGAGCCACTCTGCCAGTTTTTCAACAACCACAAAAAGGAGAAGGCTGGGCTGGGATAGTACAGCTGGCCAGAGGTGAGAAAAGGCTGGGGAGTATGAGTCACTGGCATGCTATGGCTTTCTGCCAACTCAAACCTTCACAGTCCATGCTCAAGAGGACAGCCAAAGAGAAAAGGAAGCAGTCTCTGTCCTGAGGAAACAGTAACTAGACCTCTGCAGGAATAAGAACTCAATAATGTTCTTAAAATGGGAGGGCAGGACGAGGCAGATTTCCTCAGGCATGGTTATGTGTTCACCATCCAGGGAGTCCACTGTGCATGGATTAAGGGCAGAGTTCAGATCCTAGAAATTATTCCCACCTCCATCAGTCTAAAGAAATCATTGTCCCTCTCCAGGACTCAGCGCCCTCATCTAGAAAACGAGGGAGACTACTCTAGATGACTGCTCAGACTTACTTTCAGCTCAAGGACTAATGAAATGAGGACAAGAGCAATTAGGGTTAAATGAGATACATCATATACAATACTTAGCAGAGTGCCTGGCACAGGGAAAGGGCTCAATGAAAAACAACGATGATGATAATGGGGAGTGTGGCGGGGAGAGTGACCATAAGGTCCAATATCTAAACCTAACTGCTTCTTACTAAGTACACCATTTGCTTCCCATTTCCCAAGTCCCAAAAAGGGAACTCTTCACAGCACCTAGCACAATTTGAAATTTTGTGCTTATGTATAAATGCTTTTGGCCTAATATCTTTATGTATAAATGCTTTTGGTCAATATCTTTCTCTCCAGTCATACTCAAAGCATATCCTTACCTCTGCATTGGTTCACCTAATGTGTAGCACAGTGCCAAGCACAAAGCAACTCCTCATACGTATTTTTAATGAATGAACCATGTGTCTCAGAACATCAAAAGACTATACGGCAAAAAGTATTTTAAGCATCTGATAGGCATTCACTCATTTCTCCCTCTTAACTCTATGAGGTAAGTCTATCACTGTCCCCATTTTACATCAGTAAACAGGTCTGGACAGGTACAATTACCTGTTTGTGTGCAAAAGGTACAGAACAAACAGTCTAGCTTGAGGAACCACTCTTAACTCTGTTCTCTAATGTCAATTCTGTGTTCACTGTAGATCCCAACTCAACCACAAGAAATATAAATACTCCCCAAATTCAGAAATCTAGATGTAGGACCGTGGTTCTGCCAAGGTCATGCGACTCCTGATCAGTCACACAGGCACAAGAATGCCATGAGGCCTCCTCTCGAAGCAGTCTCACGCCAACACTCTTAACTTCTGCTTCTTGAAAGTAGCAACAGGTTGTTAATAGTACCAGAGGCAGCACCACAGGGGAGAGGACAAGGAAATGTAATTTTAGTACCACTAGGGCAGACTTCAGAAACTTCTACATGGCAACTGAGAAAAATGCGTTGACTCTTTAGTACTTCTGAGGCTGGTCCCTATATCATCCCCTTAGAACTGGGTTTGTGGTTTCTTTATTTTCTCTTAAACTCACCTAACATTGTGAAACAGCTATATGGTATGGGGGCTGTAAAAGAAGAACAGATTTAGTGGAAAAAGAAATGACATGGGAAGGGATCATGTTTAGTGAAATAAGCCAGAAAGTAAAAGAAAAAATACTGGTTGATTTCACTCCTAACAGGAGCATAAGGGATGGAGGGTGGGGGAGGGGAGAAGGGGAGAAGCAAACAAAGGTAGTAGAGTAAAAATGAAAACAACAAACAACTATAAACCAGAGACATTTTATGGGAGTGGAAGGGAGAACAGGATCAGAACTGGGGTGGGAAGAGTGCACTGGATTGTGGTGATGGCACACGGGTGAACTGGTGGTGGGAAGTCCATCGGGATTACAACTGGGATGGGAAAATGCACAAAATGAAGAATGATTCATTTAAAAAATAATAAACTTTTAATCGAGATGAAAAAAAATGTGCAAAATGATGTAAAAATAAACTTTGTAATAAATAAAATAAAAAAAGAAAAAATAATAATAAACTTTTTTTTCATGTAAAAAAATAAAAAGAAAAAAAAAGAAATGACAAAGGGGGGATGAGAAATCACCTCCAATGTTGTGCAACATTCTATACTGGGAATGAGACTATAGAGTATGTGCGAGAAAAAAATACGTTTTGGTTTAAGTGCCTATTTTACTTCATTTATTCTCATGTTTCTCACCATCTACAGCCCCACACCTGCCCCTAGAAAAAAGCCTGCTTTGTCATTGAGATTACTGGCATTCATGCTAACTGGAGTTCACTCAGACTTCTGCTCCTTTTCCATGGTATCTGTGGTAACCCCAAACCAGGGTTAAGGGCAGAAATGGGACTGACAGACATCTGTGCTCTGAGGGAGAGGATAACCACTGGACAGTGACTTGGCAAGTAAGTCCACTCAGCCTCAATGTTCTCCAGAGCCACTACCGTTATCATTGAGCTGGGAGGTGCAGGCCCCAAGACCATCAAAGAGGTTTGTGGACTAGAACTTCAGAGTGGGGCACTCACAGTGCACACTCAGTCACTGCCAGGTTGCTTCTGTTTTACACAAAATCTTAGTGAAACAAGACTCCCTTCTAATTATCACAGCTGATCCTTGAAAAACATGAAGCCACTCACACTTGGATTATTTTCTATTCATAGGTTCAGCATTCATAGATCCAACCAACCATGATGTTCAAGAACCAACTAGAAATTCCTTCATCTCTGAAATGAAAACAATAAGGTCCAAATTCTTCAACAATATAAACTGTAAAATCGGTAGGAGAGTGCTACTGAACCAGAAGGAAAATCTTTGTGATGGATAGCCCTTCAATCTATGGTAACCATTCTGCCGAATAACCTTGACTGAAGTGCATGTCATCTTTTTTGGGTCATAATAACATTTGTTTCCAGAAAGCAGATGCTCTTAGTTGAGAGGAGTGGGGACAGAAACTGCTTTGTGACATTTGGCTATCTTTTCCCTATCCTAGGAATGGCTCAAAGCCACTTTCATAAATGAGGAAATCCACTAAGCAGGGGGGGGGGTGTGTTGCCACAAAACCTCCAGCAGATGGCACAAGGACTGCAGCTGGATGACTCAGTTCCGTTAAAAAAAGGAAGAAAATTTTGAAAATCTTTTTGCTTTCATTGATTCCAGTGAAAACATCTTCTTGCAGGTGGCCTCTAACACTCTGACAAAGTTCAAACTGACAGGTTTACCACTTTATAAAGGTGTAGGAAACTTGGAGCAACCACCTACCACAAGTGAGCAAGATTCCCTTGAGGACTTTGTAATACTAGAATCCGTCAAGTTTTGGTCACAGTGCCTCCAAGTCAGGGTAGCAATGGTTACCTGTGGGTGAAGCAGTCTTCCTATCTCTCCTACACAGTGTGTAGCATGTTTTCAAGTTATTTGTCAACATTTTTATTTTTAAAAAAGATTTTGTTTTTTTATGTATACAGAATTGGGGTACAGGCCAGAAGTGCAGGGTGGTGAGAGGATTCACTAAAAACAGAGTGGGGAGCAGAACAGGCTGACTGATGAAATATACTTCTGAGGGGAGCAGCAGGCGAGACAGGAGAGGTCTTCCCACCCTGTGGATCACCTCCAGGGCCTGGGATCGAATTCGCACTGAAGCATCTGTGGCTAGCTTGCAGCACTGCACCCTAACCCGCTGGGCCACCAGGGAGGGCCTACTTGCCAACATTTAAAAGCACAGCATTTCTTATAAAACTCTGGCTTTTCAGTTTCTCTTGAAAAAGTTAAAGATCTAGCAAGAGGGTGAAAATTTCACATGTATGAAAATCAGCTACCTTAAGTACCAATTGCCTCCCTTTCAACTGGGTCTTAGCACCCACAGGACCCAATCTAGGCCGAGTCCTAGATGTCCACAAAAAAGTGCAGTTCCATAAATGTATCTGTCAGTGTAGTCACTGTCCAAGCACATAGCTAACCACTACACAACGGAGGTCTGGTTCTACCATTCCACCAGAATGGCTGCTGCAGGGTGGACTGCACAGAGTGTAACAGGCACTTGTGAAGAACAGGTGAGCCAGGCTCTGAGCTTATATGACTTTCTGCTGCTTTTTTCAGACATCCCACCCTAAGATCCAAGAACAAGGCTTGTAAAATTCTTACCTTGGCAGCCCCAATCTGCTCCTTGCGAAACTTCTCCAAAGGAGTGATAAGCACCTCACTGGCATTCTCAATCTGGTGAAGAAAACAGAAGGGGTCAGGGAAAGACCCAAAAGCAGTATCAAAAAAGAATCACAGTAGTTCTGGTACAAAATGCCTTCATGTCTCCGATAAAATTTTAGTGTCTGTATCAAGTATTCACAGTGCAATTCATTTAGCATTCAAATCATTCCCTTGCCACACATGATTAAGACACACTCTTGAAAAATAAAAATGAGGGCTCTTCCTGGTGGCACAGCAGGTTAAAGTGCAGCACTGAGAAGCTCAAGCCACTTCTGCAAGAGTCCGATCCCCGCCTGTCCCGGAGGTGACCACATGGTGCTGCAGACCTCTCTGCAGACCTCTCCTGAACAGCCCGCTGCTCCCCTCAGCAGTGTACTTCGTCGATCTGTCTGTTCTGCTCCCCACTCTGTGTCTGGTGAATCCTCTCACAGCCTCTGTACCTCTGGCCTGTACCCCCAGTTCTGTATGCATAAATAAATAAATCTTAAAAAGAAAAGAAAAAGAAAAATGAGCACCTCGAAAACCATAAGCAACCACGGAAGGCAGAAGTGAACGGGTAAGAGAATTAAATTTCAGGTTTCAGGTGAATTCTTGTAAATGTTAATTCATACAAATGATACTTAAGTAGATATATTGAGTGTTGAGATTAAAAAGAAAACATGCGTGGCATGAAAATCTTTCAAGTCTGATTTCTTGCAGACTTACCAGAACTGGGCAGGGATGGAGACATATGTGTCTCCTAACCACTGTCTGAACCTCCATACCTCACACCTCATCCTGCTCTCAATCACACCACCACCTGAATGCACCCAAATGTACTGAATCTGTCCCACCTCTGGAACTGTGCAATGGGTTGTTCCCTTGATCCTCTGTCCCAAATCCTGGTATGGATGACTCATTACTTACTGTAATTCAGCTTTCAGCTTAAAGGTACTCTTTCGAAAGGCTATTCTGACCACCCATGTAATCCAAAGAAATTTCCAACCACCCCCTACCTTAGTGGTTATTTCAGAGGACATTAAGACAGTTGAAGTTTTCTGGTTCACCACTACACACACATACTACAATATACACCACTATATTGTAACTGCTTACTTCACTACTATCTTCAAGAACAGAAAAGTGCTAAAATAAAGAAGCACTCAAATATTTCTTGAATGACTAAATGAATGAGTGATTTCTTGATTGACTGCCAACTGTGAGACCCTGGGCACAACATTTAACCTCTCTGCATTCTAATTTTCTCATCTGCAAAATGAGCAGGCTGGATTGTTCTAACTCTACAATTCCATGGTCTTTTCTAAAGCAGTACACTATTTTACAATCTTTCCTTTTAAGTCATTCAATTGAGCTCACTCGTCACTCAAGTAATTATTTCAGGAATCTCTTTGCAACAAAGCATTATTTTTCTAAATCACATGCATATCCACTGCAATGAAACCAACAAGAGTAAAGGCCAGAAGCCATAGATAGACACAGCAAAGAGCTAAGTGGCAGATCACCAATCTTATGACCATTTGTCTTTTTCTCAATCCTGGTAGCCTTTATTTTAGAAGAGGGCACTTTAACACTAGAGCGTTGCAACATTATTTAACATCTCTGATTGTTACCTTTTTTTTTTTTTTAACGGAACTTGATTGGATCACTTGTTTAATTAAGTCTTTTCCACAAATCCACTGTATCTCTCTGAGCTCACAGTGGTAAGCTCACTCCTAAGTCAGTGGTTCTCAGCCATAGGATATGTCAGAATCACCTTGGGAATTTAAAAATCTCAATGTCAGGGTCATACTCCAGGCCAATTCAGTCAGAACTGGAGTCCTCAGTCCCACACATCAGTATATTTGAAATGCCCCAAGTTGTCCCCATAGGCATTAACGGTTGAGAACCCAGTCCTAAGTATATGCTGAATACACAAAAGCAACTGTTACCTGAGAGTTAGGAACCCCAGTCCTACTTATTATCAGCCTTCTTACAACCTCACTTATCACATCTATTAAGTGAGGAACTGCAGATGGTGAGGAGTAAGGCCCCTCTGGCTCTCAGATTCTGTGTAACTTTTACTCAGTTCCAAGCATTGTGTTGGATAGAAGAGAATATAATGGATAAACTGGACAGAAGAGAATATAGTGGATCCTTGAACAACATGGGTTTAAACTCTGAGGAGCCACTAACACACAGATTTTCTTATCTAAAGTAAACATAAGAGTATCCACAAGTACAGCATATTACTATAAATGGACTACTATAATTTCCTTATAATTTTCTTCACATTTTCCTTTCACTTTTGCTATTGTAAATATACAGTATATAACTCATATTATGTACAAAAATGTGTTGCCTGTTATTACTAAGGCTTCATGTAAATAGCAGGCTATTAGTTAAGTTTTGGGGGAGTCAAAAGCTATACTCAGATTTCTGACTAAGAGATATGCCATTGCCACTATCTCCCATGTTGTTGAAGGATTAATTCTACAATGGATGACCAAATATCTGAGGGATATCTACCCCAAGGAAAGTTTTCCAAGTAAGGTACAGTGTTACTAAGAAGAGCTGAATTGATGAAGCTGTCATGGGGTGAGACGGTAGGGAAGGGGCTTGCAGTGACCAGATCCTCAGATGCAGGCAGTAGAAACCCAATTCACTGACATTAATAATAAAATTGCAGAGGCAAGCTGAAAAGTAGAATCCAGTCATTGTTCCCTTACCACAGGCCATAGCAATCTGCAGGGTATTCATTGTGATTTGCTCACCACACCCCCACACCCCCAAATACTGACTAGGCCAAGAATCAGATTCAAAAGAATTACTTCCCTTTCTCAGGCACTAGCACATGCACAAACATACAAGTTTTCCACCCACCACCAACTCCACTCCAGCCCCCACTCTCTCCATTCTGGTTCAATCACCCAGCAGTGAGCAATCAAGGAAAACAGTGTCTGTCTCCGCAGGATAGAAAGTAAGATGCCTCTGCTCTGTTTAGCTTTTTTAAGGAATTTCCACATTCTTTGACAGAATGGAAACTTGGGTTTATATCCAGACCATGACCCTTATTAACTATGTGAGCTGAGACATTTTATTTGACCTCTGTAAGCCTCAATCATGTTCATCTGAACAATGGGGATTATACAACCTCATGTGAAGCTATATAATGTCCTTGTAGATACTATGGATTAAAGTGTACCTCACTGCTCACCCAAAATAAGTATGTGGAAACCCTAATTCCTGCTAAATAAATTAGACAAGGAGACCATTAGACTTAGGAGTCTCTAATACCTTATCAGTCAACATAAATAAGCAAACCAAAGTCCAAACCTGTAAATCACTCAAAGTTAAGAAACTAGGCTTTCCCAAGTAAGACAATCATCTCAGTTATTGCTCTGTTGAGCTCTGCTTCCACATCTTCTCTATGAAAGTCTTTTCCCTAGCTCCTGTCAGTAAAGTGCTCTAAACATGTCTGAGTTACTGTCTGATTTGAATCAATTTTTGCTCAAATAAATGTAAAACTTTAATAGGCCTCAGTTTACTTTTTTTTTAAAGATTTATTTATTTATGCATACAGAACTGGGGTACAGGCCAGAGGCTCAGGGGAGGTGAGAGGCTTCACCAGAGACAGAGTGGGGAGCAGAACAGGCAGATCGACGAAGTACACTGCTGAGGGGAGCAGCGGGCGGGTCAGGAGAGGTCTGCCACACCATGTGGTCACCTCCGGGGCAGGCGGGAATCGAACTCATGCGGAAGTGGCTTTAGCTTCTCAGTGCAGTGCTTTAACCCGCTGCGCCACCAGGGAGGGCCTCAGTTTACTTTTTAATACCTCCAGTGGGATAGTATTTGGAGATGGAGACTCTGAAAGCCAACTAGGTACTAAAGGTGGAGGACACAGCAAGGAGGCAGGCATCTTCAAGCTGGGAAGAGGGTCCAAATCAGAAGCTGAGTCAGCTCCTTGATTTTGGGTTTACCAGTCTCTAGAATTATGAGAAATATATAGCTGCTATTTAAGCCACCCAGTCTGTGGTAATCTTTGTTATAGCTGCCCATGACACCGTTATGATATGATACTGTTATCTATGGTCAATATTTCTACCTTAGGTTCCTGCCACCAAAGCTCCTGAAATCCTTGTGATTTATAGTGTTCAGAGCACTAGGAACATCTTTTGTTCTAATATTTGATCTCTGGCCTCAGTTCCTGACACAGGGCTTCTGAAAACTTTGTAGTTTCCTGATGATAGGAGTGTTTTTTGTTCTAATGAAGGCGCTCGGAGTGGGCTGCTGGATGGGACTTGTCACTGGAAAGAATAAGCCATCATTACTTCTTGAAATTTTCAGAGCTGCTCCATATTCACTTGAGAAGGGTAAAGAGTTAAAGTGAAATTAATGATCAGTAGAATCATGCCTGTGTGATAAAGCCTCCACAAAAGTTTTGTAGGTATGGGATGCAGTGGGGCCACGAGACCTCCGGGGTTGGTAAACAAGTGGTGGTATGGGGAGACAGCATGCCCACAGAAGGCATGGAAGCTTCATGACCCTGCTCCTAGGACCCTGCCTTCTGCTTCTCTTCCATGTAAATGCTCAACAGCAACCCTGTCGTATCCTTTTATAATACATTAGTAAACTGTGTCTCCCTGAGTCATATGAGTCACTCTAGCAAATTAATTGAAATCAAGGGATGTTGGAATTTTCCGTCAATAGTCAGTTCAGCTGGCTGCCGTCGTATGTGAGGGATGAGGGGGAAACCTGTAGACTAAGCCCTTAATCTGAAGTTATTTGGGGCAGATAGTCAGAATTGAGTTACATTGTAAAACAAGTGATCGCTTGGAAAAACCACTGTACATTTAGTGACCAGAGTGAAATGTTTCATGTGAGCTGTAAAGAAGATATACAAGGAACAAAGATACATGCTGGGTAAAAGATCTAGATATTTTCCTACACAGGGGGAATAGCTGAGTTTTGCCATTACTCAGCTGAGCAGACTGAGTCTCAAACATCAGTATTTAGTAAGGAAAGAGGAAGAATCTTCAGCAGGGATTCCCTCAGGACTCTAGAGACAAGCCCTCCTAGGGGCAAATCAGCATTCAGACCAGGCTTCACTTCTGATGTCCTAGGGAAAAGGGGGGGGGGGGGAGCGAAGAACAGCAAAAGAAATTCCTGTGAGTGTAGAATCTCATCTGCTAGTCTGTTAGTGCTGAGCCCCATCCGAAAAACTGTAATGTAAAAGAAATCTCCTAGGAATGTGAAAATGAGCATTTGACTCGTGGTGTGCACAGCGCCTCTCTGAAGAATTTTGTAGAGTTACTGTCATTTCTGAGATGAGAGTACTTACTAGGTGCCTACTACATGTCAGACCCTGGTGCCTCAGATATAAAAGAGAAAAGAGTGATCTCGACCCTCCAAGAGCTCTTGGGCAGGTTTAATAAGCAGAGTGAAGCACCCTGATTTCCATGCTGCCTGTCGAGAATCTAACAGCCCCAAAGTTAATGAGTTCTAAGATTCATCCTGACGTCATATACCTTAGGTATGCACCTCAGAGTGAATACTTATGAGGACAATGATATGACTCTACAGTTATCCAAGTACATCCTTTCATATTCACAAAAGACTTCAAAGATGAGAAGGTGAGGCTTGCTTAGAGCCCAAGGTACACATGTAAAAGAACCAGGGTTCAAACCCAGGTCTTCTGACAACTAATCCCTGGTTCCCTCTACATGACTACACTGCCTGGGGCCCACAGCAGCACAGCTGTACTCACCATCCGTATCCGTTCGTCTTCCAGATTCCTGAGAACAGTGGCAAACTCCTGCAAGGACCTTGCTGGGGAAATATAAAGGGGGGTCATGAAGTGAGAGTAGAGTAGCAGGCCTTGTTAGCTATCCAAACACAGCTATGATATTAAGGGCGGAAATCCCTTGGCACATGCAGAAACCTAAAGTCAACTGCTCCCCAAGGTTCCCCTTATCATTTAACCATTAACCATAATGGATGACACAAAAACACAGGTAATTCCACCTGGCACTCTGGCTAGGGAAGACTTCCTTCAAGGAAAAGATCTGCCTGTTCCAGGGAGTACCCAGGACTGATGAGCTGCTGGCTGGTTCCCAGACCTCGGGCTGGAAGGGGCAGAGTTCCGCCTAGGAGCTGAAGGATTTCCTGCCCAGAATTTGACCTCTTCAACCTTTGTTGTATGGCTGCGTCACAATCCAACCTTTTCTTTGGCACCAGAACTAAACAAACAGTATTGCTGGCATCAGAAGCCACATTCTGGTTTCTCCTGGGTTCCCCCTCCCTGGGTCCTCAAGTCAGCTACTAATACAATGGTGCTTGCAGTACTGTGGTCAGAGGTGGTCAGTCTCCTTCACCAGGGTTATTCCCAGAGGAAAGAGAAAGTACAAGCAATAACCCTGAGAACATTCAGGACTGTAATTACACACTGATGCATGACAATAGTGATGTGTTTCTGCTGCTTTCAGTTGTTGCCCAACTTCCTTCACTCATCTAAGATCTCAGTGTTATGAATGACAACAGGGATTCTGTTAACATTTGATGTCTTAATGCAATATACGTCTCTCATTTCTCACTCACTTAATGGAGTCAACCAAGATGCCAATGTAAGGAGAATATGGTCCAACAATTAGGTCCTGACTACAAAAAGTATCTTAACACTGCAAATCCTCTGTGCTCAGTGTTGCCTATAGAAGACAGGTGGATGATGGTGAAGAGTGAAGCAGCACAGAGAGGAGACCAGTGGGAACCCCACTCTCCGGGAGAGATGGGGACCACAGTGAATCAGACACTAAGTTCCTTCCCTCATCCCGGGCAGCAGCAGCTATATAGCTCCAGATACCTGATGCCATGCCAGAGTATAGGGCAAGCTGCTCTGATTCTCCATGAAGCTGGAAAACTTAAGATAAACTCTATTTATATAGCAATTCAATTAAAAATTAATGTCAGAGAAAACAGGGCTGCATTCTGATCTCAGCCAAAGAGCTGTCATTTTGCAGCTTCTGAGTTATCTAATTCTTCCCTCATCTACCTGCACTCTGCTTTTGAGGTAGAAGATTTTTCACCAGGGATGTGGGGAAGAAAGTCACAAAATCAGCCAGAAGAATGCCAAAGGCAGGGGCCAGAGAAAGCCCCACCATAGAACTTCAAGCTTGCTCCTGTAGCCGCAGCGTGTCCTGGGCCCCAGATGCTCACAAAACTCTGTCCCGCCACTGCTGCTACCGATACTTCTGTATAGGAAGCCTAGATACTTCATGTCCCAGGTCACAGGCTTGATCAGGACACGGAAAGTTGTGATGAACAGAACGTTTTCTTCTTATGCAGAGTTATGACTTACCTATACACATTTCATCATCTGTTTCTGCATCACCTATGCACTGAAATTTAAATTCATTTAAGGAATCTGCAAATTTCCTCTTGGCCGAAGACAAATCTAGAAAGAAAAAATACAAAAAATGAGTTACTGAAACAGTTGTATTCGCTGCATTTTTCAGTCCTTCTGCTAATACGGGGCTAGCAGATTTACTCCTGTATCCAGGCATTCTATTTCTAAGCATGGAAAGCACTTAGTTCAAAATAATGAATATTTGTTAATAACAATGAGATACTGATTTGCTTTAAAAGTTAGTATTTTTGTTACATTTGTTTTAACACAAGCCATATACTGAGTCTTGTCACATGACACATGTGGGAATCCACTTACAAAGGAAGCAAAGGAGGAAGTAGGGTCAGAGCCAACACTGGCATCTATGGCCTTACGGGTAGGCTCTGCCAATGATCCTCCATGTGATCCGTGAAGCTGCCCCCACATCAGACTTGTCAGGAACTTCCCTGAGTCCAACTCATACCACAAACTGGCATTAGGTAAGGAGGTAGAAAACAGAGGGCTGGAACTAGCTGCCCTAGGCCTGTGGCACTGGCACTTCCGCTTCCCACTCAAGAACATGTGAGACCAAATTTCTCAGAACCTCTCAGCTCCCCTCGCAAGCAGAGTGAGGAGGCCTGACAAATTTCCACCTGGACCACCTTCCCAGATGACCACATTCCTCCATCGCCATGAGAAAAAAGCCCTGGCAGTACAGTTGAGGTTAAAACATACCCCCACACATGGTTACTATAAAGAAAGTTCTCAGAGGCCTTTGTCGAATTTAAAAAATAAGCCTTCCTTTAAGACATTAATGAAAGCCAATGATCCTTACTGAACTCTCAGCTTCTGTTAAGGGTACAAAACCACCAAGGCACCTTTAAGTGGCCTGACAGACAGGGCTGTTTCAGAGCAAATGTGCTTAACTTAATTCCACATGCAGCCTTCCTGCAGATTAGGCTAATCATTCAAATTACCCTCATACAAGTTTCCCCTCATTGCAGGGGAAATGGCATTAAGTTCAACTTCCCAGAGGAGGGAAACATGAGGCATAACTGGTAACAGGACCTGGCTTTAATAAGATGCTAGGGTGGAGTAGGGGTTGGGGGATGGGGAACTCTGGCCTCTGTGAGCAACATAATCTATTGGAATAAAAAAATCCATGATCCTTAGCTCTTTTCTAGTTCTGAGATTTGTCCTCCAAGGTTTGGGGTCTTTTTTTTTTCCATCTCTTGGCTTTGTTTGTTTCCTCCCTATGTAACTAGCAGAGAACATACCCCCCTCCCCCATAAATGCTGACTAATGCTTGTGTGTGTGTGTGTGTGTGTGTTTGGAAGGGATATTGTATCAGAATCAACCACCAGTGCTCAGCTTGCCAATCCCAATGTTCATTCCAAGTGATGGCTACCAGTGGCAGCACCAGGCCTGTCTGTCCAGCTGTTCTCAAGTCTGGGGTTTAGGCCACTGCCCGGATAGCAGCAGCACCTGCCCAGGGCCACCCTTCCACAGGCTTGGGTCATATAGGTCCTGAACTGGCTATGGCTTGTGCAAGGCTCTCTGCCCGACATGAGAAAGGCACTTAGAAAATAGTCCTCAACACAGGAGCCAACAGCCACCAGTCTCCAATCTCTCCCAGATCCAGCCCCTTTAATGGAATGGGCCTTGGCAAAACATTCAAAGATGCTGGCAAGGGAGTGAGGCAGCTCTTCAAAGGGAACAACCCTGGCTGAGGATATCTCTGCGAACACAAACCACTCCCTGGCAAGTCAAGAAAGAAACAGATGCATCTGAAAGTCAGAACTCTGCGGGGAAGAAAGACACAAGAGGTCACAGGCAGGCAGGAGTGATAAAAGGAGATAATAATCTTTCAGAGTGGAAAGCAAAGCCCTTCAAGGGCCCTGAAGTGTGTCGTGTATGGAATGTGGACACAGTTGCCCTCCAGCTTATTTTAGTTAGAATGTCCCCCCAACCAGAACTCACAAAGGCCTGAGCAAAGAGGCAAAATAGGATTGCTCCTCAGTTCCCTAACAGCCCCCCTGTACCTCCCTAAAGGAGCAACAAATACTTCAGCTGGACAATCTTCTCAACAAAGTTGAAAAAAATGGTGAAATGTAAACCTGGTGTGGAAACGCTCCAAGCACACACCTGAAAAGCTGGGTTGCCAGGGCAACTGCCAATGGGGCTCAAGGAGTGGTCACTAATGCACAACAGGGCCTTTGTGGGGCCTTTCCACAGGAGGGCCAGGAGCAGCAGCTAGCTTGTGATCAGAGGAGCCTGACTTCATTGTCCAGTGCTCACAGCAAAAAAATTTGAAAAGCAGTGTGGGCCCCACAAAGGTGATAAAGAGGCCAGCCCCTCATGGAAGACTAGTTAATGAGTACTGGTATACAGTCAATACAGGACTGCCAGCCAGTGAGGGCAGGTGGATGGAGAATCCCAATTACTGGAATCCGAAAAGGAACTCACTGTGGGCTTGAATGACATGTATTTGAGTGAAATCTTTCTGGGGAGATTAAGTGGACACCTGTTGCTTGCTTGTGCAGGACCCACCCCCCTCCACCCCCCCAGTTTCTGGGCAGCAACTCAAACTTACTTTGAACAACCTTATTCTCTCAATCTGCATTGCATAGGGTCCTGGTTATAGGCTGATCAGCCCCAGTACCTGCCCCTTGCCTACAACCCACCTCTCCTGGCTTCTAAGTTCAAGTTTAGCTCTACCATTTACCAGAATGATACTAAATCTGGATTAGTCAAAGTTTCAGTCACCTCATCTGACAGAGTTGTTAGCCCTACCTAAACCAAAGAGCTGTCACAAAATCCAGTGAGACCCCCTGTCCACTATAAGCTTTAGCCTCCCTTACACTATAAGGCATGACTGGGCTACTCACTAGTCCATGAATGCTCCAGTAACAAGACCCAGGGAGAAGTAAGTACCTGTATCACATACTCAGAGAAGTTAAAGAACTGACAGAACAACATAGTTTTTAGCTCACAGAATATTTAAACACAAACAAAAAACAAGAACATAGCTCAATTCACTCTTCTGGCTTGAAACCCCTGTAGCATGTTTGTCCCTCAGGTTGTACCTCACTGGATCAAAATAAACCCATAATCTCAGACAATAGAGAGGGTATCATAAATCACTGCTTCTTGTCTGTTCAAACCAAAAGTTTTGACATCTTACATAGATGATCACTCTGGATATGCAATGGCACAGAGATTTCTTTCTGGAGCCTTCACTCTGATACACGCAGGAATCTAACATTCCAATAAGAGAAGAGGCTGGTGCTGCTGTTGGATATAGGCCAATCTTCATGGAACCCTGCTCATATAACCCCACTGTTTCATGTTCAGGCAGTGCAGGACACAGCTAGGAGCCAAGCAGAGTCAATAATATTTACTCTGCAAAAACATCTGTTGCTAGAAAGGCAGAATGCTGGCCAAAGCAGAGAGAAGTAACTGGCAGTCTCTGGGGAGGACAAGTATCTGCTTTACAGGATAAGTAGGCTCTGCCTCTCACTAAAGAGGCATGGAGGTAAGGGGTAAGGAAGCATCTAGAAGTCTGGGCCTGAACAGCCTGTTCCCAAAGCTGTCTGCTCACTAGGACACCAGTGAAAGTGACTGTCTTCCTGGAGAAACTATCCTCTGACTTAGCAGACAGTTTAAGAGAATTTAAGTGCAGTATACTCTTCCTTTTATAAATGAAGGCTTATCAAATTTTTAAATCCGAATCTACCTAATCTCACCCAAGTTTTGCCAGTAATACCGGTCAAGACATATTCGTTCTCTCCTTGGGTAGTATTTAACATACATGTGTACATACAAACATATGTATACACATATACATATGGACATCCACATAGTGAAGGGCTCAAGGTAACTTCACAATTAAGCTTATTTTCCCTGCATCCATTGCCTTTTGCTAACCTCCATACTTATCAAAATTGCATGTAATGACCAGCAGAATTTTTTGCTACTCTGTCACATCTTCCTGGTCTTAGAAACTGATTATCATTATCATAGTAAACACTATAACCATAGCAGGTATGTCCAAGAGGGCCGGTCTCTTAGATGCTTTAACAAGAATTAAAGTCCAAAGGCCTTGCTAGTCTTTCCCTTCTTCAAAGGCCAATTACCCTTATGTTCTGGCCTCAATACCTTGTATTTGGAGTGATTCTGGAACTACCATGAGTCGCTCTGTGTCATAACACCCAAGTGTCCAGGACAAGGCAGGACAAGGTAGCTCTCAAGGTAGGTCTGATGAGGCATAGCAACAAGAGTGGGCTCAGAAGTGGAGACTCAGAGTATCCCAGTCTGAGATTCCACAGTGAGAGCTGAAAGACTTCATGCAGGTGTGTGCCCAATAAGCCCCGTTCCCAGATAAAACAACACTCTTAAAAACAAAGCCTCTCTTCAACCCTAATCTTTCCCAAGAGAGCCATCCACGGGTCTCTTGCTATGCCCCCAGCTGAGCAAAGGGCACTAACCTTTCATCCTTCCACACACATGAGTTAGACGCCAGGACCTCACCCTTGACAGTAGTCTTCCAACATACACCACAATCGTGCCCAAGTCTGTCCACTTCACCTCCTAAAGATTCTGCACACTCCTCTCTATTACCCTCAGCAACCCTGACAACAAGCACCCCTTTTTCTTGAATAACTGCAATGAATCCTCTATGGTCTCCCCACATTCACTTTTGCTCCTCTAGTCAGTTCTATACCCAGTGTGTCTGCTCTAACCGTGAACCTTGTGTTGGCTTCCAGAGCACTGAGTTAAAGATCAAAGTCCCTCCCAAGGCCTGAGTAGCCCTGCAGGTTCTGGTCTCCTCAACTTCTCGGGGCTCCAGAAACCCTGGCCTCTGCAGTTCCTACACTGTGCCCTACTCCCACCTAACACCCTGTTAGCTCTGCCTGCAGCCCTCAGCTTAACAGTTCCTCCCTCCAGGAAGCTTCTGTCTTCTCTACCCAGACCAAACCCTCCCTTATTTTCACTCCTTGAAAACATGTCCCTCTTCTTCATTGCAGCTTTGTATTTGCTAAGGTCACTCAACTGATATCTTCCAGAGT